CCCTGACCTCGCCCAAGGTCCATGCTGAAGGCTGCTGCTTCTCCTGGCCCTGACCTCGCACTCAGGTTGCTGCCAGCTTGCTGCTCCGGGGTGGCCGTCCCTGCTATCCCCTCGAGGTCCCCCTCCAAAGCAGGGGCAGCCCACCGCCGTCCAAAAGTCATACTGTTGGTCCTGGACGGAACCGTCCTGCCTGGGGGTGGAGGCCCCTATGGCCGCTGAGGCGTCTCCCGCCCCTCCTTGCCCATGGGTGTGTGCTGGGGTCGGCAGGTACAGCACGCCGCCGCCGGCCACCCCTCCTCGTGGGCCAAGACCTCCAGCTGGTCGCCGGCCCAACAGTATCCCCCGTGCGTCCCAGCTGCAGGCTCGAGCCCCGGAACAGCGGGCCCACCTGCCTCACTACTGCGCCGGGGCCATGTTCGTGCAGCAGCTGCTGAGCCGCGGCTACGGCTTCCATGAGCGCGCCTTCGGAGGGGTGACCTTCCAGAAGAAGGTGGGAGCCGGTGGTCCCGGGGCGCGGAGGGGCGGCCCCCACCCTGGACCCCGTGGAGGCTGAGGCCATGCCCCTCGCCCGCAGGCCGGGGACACCGCAGTGGGCTGGGCGCTTGGCTACATGCTGAACCTGACCAACCTGATCCCCGCCGAGCCGCCGGCGCTGCGCAAGGGCACAGACTTCGGGGCCTGGGTCGTCCTGGTCCTGCTCTCCGCCGTCCTGCTACTGGCCGCGACCGTCCTGCTGCTGTGCCGGGCGCGCGCGGCCAAGGCGTCCAGCGCCATCTAGGGGCGGGCTGGGGGCGGCGGCCCTCCGGACCCCGGCCCTCCCCTGCACCCCATCCTTCCCCCAGCGCCGCCCAGACCCAGACAGAGGACGCTGGCGCACTCGCCCACAGGGAACGGGGTCCAGACCCTGTCTGTCCGCTCCGGCACCCTCCAGCCTGCAGGGTCCCCTGGGCCTCCTCTCCCTGGGGGTGGGGGATTCAGACACCCCGCAGCCCTCAGCCGGTGACCCCGGGGCTGGGTGTGCAGGGAGTGGAGTTAGAGCGCTCAGAGCACCCCCCCAAAGTCTGAATCTGTATGAGAGAGAGGGTCAGAGCCCACGGGCTGGGAACGCAGCACCTACTTGTGAAAATTTTGTAATAAAAACTTCTTTCCAGAGTCCTGCAGAGGACGTACATAGGGTGGGGCCTCCTTGCCGCTGCCCGCCCTCTTCCCCACAGCTGTGCTGGCCAGGAAGACCCGCTACTAGTCCCAAGGGTGGCCCCAGGCTCTTCCTGCTTTCTTCCTTCGTGGGTGCAGGCACAGAGCCGTGGAAACCCTGCTCCCCGGCTCCACAGCTGCGCCGGGAGCAGCCAGGGGCCACCCGCCAAGAGAAAGTCCCCGAGTCCCTTGGGTCTCATCCAGCCAGCAAGGCCCCCATAGCTCCTCCAGGTCTGTGAGGACGGGCCCTGGCCTGGGACTGGCTTGGGGTGAGGGTGGGGAGGTGGAGGCGGTGGAAGGGGGTGGGACTGGCCGCTCTGTGCTGGAAGGGGTGGGGGGGGGGGGCCCTCCACCAGAAGTGGTGCTGGGGCGAGTTGAGATGAGGGCCAGGAGGAAGGCAGGGCCCCATCGCTCAGACGGCAGCACGTTGTGGGGAGGCTGGCTGCAAAGCCCAGGTGCCGTGGCGCTGGGACACACCTCCCCTCCTGCCTGGTGCCCTCTTCCGCATCCAGGGGAGGCACCAGCCCTCCTACCCCCCCACCCCCGCGGCTCCTGCAGCCTCCTCCTGTGAGCGCTGGTTTATCCTGGGTGGGGAGGCTATCTTTGGGCTGCTCTCCTGCCTCCCAACCTTTCCAGAAACTGAGCACAGACACTGCTTCTGTCTGGTCAGTGGCCTGGGGGGAGAACGGCGGTGCTTGTCTTCGCACGCCCGCGGTTCTGCAGGGTTTCGGGGTGTTGAACGTTCAGAACCTGGAGGCAGCCAGTCCTCTCTTTGGAGTTCTGAGGCACAAACGGCTGAGGGGGAACATCGGGTGGCCGGGCTCACCCCTGTCCTCTCAGTGCAGTGAGTCAGAGGGTGGTTTCCCAGGTGGGATGGGTGGGTGTCCTCTCTGGGGGCAGCAGGTGCCATGCGAGCTGCTCTTTGTTGCAAGGCCTCAGGGAGCTGAAGGCTGTCACCTAGGGACCGTGGACAGCTCCTAGCTGTCCCTCATCAGCCGCTCCAGGTCCCTCTTGCCCCCTGGTGGCCTCACTGAGACCAGCCGCCCCATTCCAAGCACAGCGGTCACCAGCACCGGCCCCGCTCTGGGCGTGTGTTTGCTTTTATCACGCGTCTCCGAGGGCCCAGGTGCCTCTTTGCACGCACCTTTCTATCTGCGTGCGCCTGGCGTCCCTCTGTTCCCGGGGCTCGGGCCTGCAGGCCCCAGGCAGGTCCCCGTGCTCCAGCCGGGTGGAGGTTGGGGGTTGGGTGGGAATTGGCGACAGAGAGAGGACCCGCGGGAAATGTATCCTGGGGAAGCCCACCCCAGGCCCACCGGGTATGCAGAGGACAGAGGAGGTCCCCGGCCGCGGAGGCCGCAGAAGCCGAGGCGCCCCGAGGGCTGGAGGGAGGAGGTGGAATCGGAACCCGAGGAAGGGGGCGGGGGCGCAGCCCGGAGGCGCTGTCCCGCCCCCACAGACGGAGCGCGCAGGCGCACTCCCCGCGAGCCTCCCGCCGCCGCGCCTCGATCCCGGATCCTTTGCCGCAGCGTCAGCGCCGCCGCCGCCTCCTTTCCGCCTCCGCCCCCTCGTCCGCCGCCGCCGCCGCCCGCGCCTCCCCGACGCGGCGCCCGCAGCCCGCGCCGAGCCCCGGGCCGCGCGGTGCCATGCAGCCCCGGCGGCGGCGCTGAAGGATGGCGACACCCGTCCCTCCGCCCTCGCCGCGACACCTGCGGCTGCTGCGGCTGCTGCTCTCCGGCCTCGTCCTCGGCGCGGCCCTGCGCGGTGCCTCGGCCGGCCGCCCGGGTGAGCGAGCGCGGCCGGCGCAGGCCGCGGGGCGCCCCG